TAAATAAATAAAAATATTTAATCCTTGATATTTTCATGTTGCCATAGAGTTGGAACCAATTTTTTATTTAATGAACTGAATTAATATTGGCATATTGCAGTTTTAAGTACATGGTGTTTTAAAATGACTCATTTTTATATTTTGGAATAAAGAATAATTCTGCCTTCCAAAACAATTGTTTTGTTGAACTAACTTTTTATGGATTTATTATAAAAGTAGCTCATTATAATAGTGAAACTTCTAATATATATTCCTCTTGATACACTTAAAATGTTTTACTTGTGACTACTAAGGTAATTGTTAAAACATTTTTCAAGAATATAAAGAAATTTAATTGGAATCTCTTGCTTTATATTTTCTTTTTATAAATATGGCAACTGGTTTTTATTCTGGAAATCTGTTCTTTAGGATCAGTTTCCTTTTCTGCATGTATTATTTATTATGGATTTTGTAAAAAGGTATTTTATCTCATTTTATCTCAGGATGTTCAAGACCCTTCAGTGTTTGTAACTTTCCCTTTGGAGGAAGATGAAAATGTGTCTTTGGTGGCTTGGACAACCACTCCCTGGACATTACCTAGTAACCTTGCCCTGTGTGTTAATCCAGACATGCAGTACGTGAAGATTAAAGGTAAGTATGGGCCTGGTTATTTATGACTGATACTGAGAAGATCACTTTAACTTATTTTGGGATAGAATGAAAGCTTACATTTCTTTTGGAGTAAAAATAGAAGTTTTTGAAAAAGTGTTAGACTTAAACAGAAAAATAATCTCTGAAAGGTGGATTTTTTTCATTTTTGATTGAAAAAGTAATGCACATAAAAATTAAAATAGTAGAGAGCTATAAAAAAAGATCCCTTGTAATTTTCAGATTGTAATACACTTATACACATCATACCCGTTACAGATGAGGAGCTGGAGATTCAGAGAGGTGGCCTCTCATTGTTGCCAGGAACCTCTGATGTGTTTTTTCAATGCCACCAACCAGTGAACGTCCTTCAGACACTAGCTACCTGGAGATTACGTCAGACTGCACAGGTTAGGGCTCAGTCCTACACGTCCTCCCCCACAGCCTCACTGCAGATGGCAGTTGCAAGTCCTGTGCTTCTGACAGACCTATGACCTCCTCCTGGGGTTGGATTAATTTGCTAGAGTGGCTCATAACTCGGAAACATTGTACGGTTTATCGTGAAAGGATAGAAAGGATACACAGAAACAGTCAGATGAAGTACATGGGGTGAGGCCTGGAAGGGTCCTGAGCACAAGAGTTTCTATCCCCCACGGAGCTGGTGTGTGTTGCCCCCACAGCATGTGGATGCATTCACTAACCTGGAAGCACTCCATACCCCATCCTTGTGGGGTTTTATGGAGGCTTCACTGCTTAGGCAGGATTCATTAAATCATTGGCTGTTGGTGATTGAACTCCATCCTTAGGTGACCTGGGGGCTTTCCGAAAGTTCCCCTCATCAGCATAACAAAGGACCCCTTTATGGCTGTTACCACATAGGAAATGACAAGGGTTTTAGATCTCTGTGGGGAATGGAGACTACGACTGAAATGCGTATTTATTATAAGTCATTGTATCACAGAGTTGGTACCAGAACTTGAGAACTTTGTGCCTTTCAGATATTAACTGGTAGAGAGTTAGCCAAAGTCCTGATGAAGCTCTTTCTGTAGAGATTTATATGAAAAAAGAAGACTGTTACCTTCAGGTTTGGATAGTTTATGGAGGGAGGGGAAGCCAGGGAAAAAAAAGAAAACCATAGCCAGAAAAAACAACCGTACAAGATAGATGACTTGATTCACAGCAGCTTGTGAGGCAGGCGAAGGATTCGAAGAAGGAATGGGGGAGGCGGGGGCGTGGGGCAGAAAACAGGTGTTTTTATTACTACTTAGCAGTGCCTTGGGAGCAGATAGGACCAGCAGCTGATTTCTTGTGCTCCTGGCCGTGGGCACAGAGCCTCTCCAGGCAGGCGCAGGCCCACAGAGAGAGTTCCCCATGTCTCCCTGGGGACATGGCCATTCTCTAGTGAGCCTGATAGCCTGAGGGGCCATCAGGCAGATGGACTTCAGTCCTGTCCCTCCTCTGCCTGCATACGACTCCCACCGTGTGTCCTGAGTTTTACCCAGAAAATGTAGACTCCGCTAACAGTGAAGGTCTGGTGCAGCCAGCACTGGGGGGTGTCGGTGTTGTTTCTAGTAGCTTTTCAGTGAATTGCAAAGGCCTTCTCAATGATCCGTAGAGTCTCATGTTTCTTTTTTTTTTCATAGTTTCTTATCACAAATTGGAGTAGTTGCTTTTTTATTTTTATTTTATTTTTTTTAAAGATTTTATTTATTTATTTGACAGAGACACAGCAAGAGAAGGAACACAGCAGGGGGGGGGAGGAGGGAGAAGCAGGCTTCCCTCTGATCAGGGAGCCCGACGTGGGGCCCGATCCCAGGACCCTGGGATCATGAGCCGAAGGCAGACGCTTAACAACTGAGCCACCCAGGCGCTCCTGATTCTCATGTTTCTTACAGTGAACTGAATATATGTCATAGACTCTAGTAAATCCTTGGGTGTATCAGGGGCACCTGGCTGGCTCAGTTGGAAGAGCGTGCAACTGTTGATCTCAGGGTCATGAGTTCGAGCCCCATGTTGGGTGTAGACATTACTTAAATAAAAAACTTGAAAAAAATCGTTGGGTATATCCTACTTTACAGGTGGGAGTTTAAATTAGTCTGTTTTTATAAGGCGATTTGTCATTTGCTGTTAAATTGTAAATGTTTATACATTTAATCTAGCTTTTCTATTTCTAGGATAGTATCCTCCAGAAACACTCTAATAAGGGTACAAAGATACGTGCAACGGGGACGCCTGGGTGGTTCAGACAGTTAAGCGTCTGCCCTTGGCTCAGGTCATGATCCCAGGGTTCTGGGATCGGGCCCTGCAGTGAGTCCTGCATTAGGCTCCCTGCTCAGCGGGGAGCCTGCTTCTCCCTCTCCCCACCCCCATGCTCCTCCTCTTCTCAAGTGCGCGTGCGCTCGCTCTCTCTGCGCGCACGCTTTCTCTCAAATAAATAAATAAAAAACAACAGCAAAAAAATGCAACAATATACATTACCCCCCCCCCCTTCACAGTAGTAACAATCTGAAAACAACTTGAATGTCTAGTATTGATAGGTTAAAAATAACTTGCACTTCTTAGAATGGAGTACCGTGTAGCTATTTAGAAGAATGAGAAAGGACAGTTTGTGCTAATATATGGAAAGATGTGCATATATAGTATGTGAAGACAACTGAAAACTGTATTGAGTTATATCCCATAATTACCTTTTTAAAAAAAGCCATTCCCATAAGATGTGTGTTAGGATACAGGTAGAAAAATACCTGGAGGGCGACACTCAAATGATAGTGTCTTGTGGGGAGGTGAGATGAATGGGGACTTTTACTCAGGGAGTTTCTTGGTTTGTTAATGTTACGATTTTTTTTTTTTTAAAGATTTTATTTATTTATTTGAGAGAGAGAGAATGAGAGAGAGCGAGTACATGAGAGGGGGGAGGGTCAGAGGGAGAAGCAGACTCCCTGCTGACAGCAGGGAGCCCGATGCAGGACTCGATCCCGGGACTCCAGGATCATGACCTGAGCTGAAGGCAGTCGCTTAACCAACTGAGCCACCCAGGCGCCCCAATGTTACGATTTTTAAGCATTCACATGTATTACCACTGGTCGGAGAAAATAAGATTAATTTATGTAAAAGGGAGAGTTCAGTTAAGTGCGTGTGCTGTTTTTGTCTTCTTTGGGTCTGGAAAGCAGCGTGCCCTGGTGCATTTCTCCGTGATTTCTGAGCACACGGGGTATGGTGATATGGGACCCCACGGAGGAGGATGTGCTGGCGCGTGTCTAGACTCTGCCGAAGTCTGAATGTCACTGAAGTCCACTTTTCCCCTTGCTCTTGTAGATGTTGTCAGAGGAAAACTACTCATTTTAATGGAAGCCAGATTACCAGCCCTCTATAAGTTGGAGAGTGACTATGAGATCCTTGAAAGGTGAATATACAGGTTTATTGCTTTGTGCCTATGTGTGAGAGGTGAGACACTTTATTGCCCAAAAGCTCTATTATTCGAGTTCAGTTAATACGACTGAGTATATTCAGGTCACACATTCCAGCATTAACGACTAAGAAACAAGTAAACCAGGAGGGAGTTGTGACTTGATGTGTCTGCAGTTTCATTTCTTTTGAGGATTTTAGTCTAATTATGAGTTTCTCCTTTTTCTAGATTTCCTGGTACCTGTCTCAAAGGCAAGAAGTACAGGCCCCTGTTTGACTATTTTGTGCAGGTGAGCTTATGGACCTGTACCACATGGGTGCTCCGTACCTGCGTAGGAGTTACTGGGGTGCTGTCCCATGGCTTGTGTGGGTGTCCAGTCCAAAGTCTGTCTTAGAAGTAACAAAGTTGAATTGTGTTTGTATTGCTTTCTTGTTTTATTTTATTTTATTTTTTAAAAGATTTTGTTTATTT